TTTTGGGCATTTGGGCTGCTTCCATGTTTTTCCAATTGTAAATAAAGCAGCAATAAACATGGGGGTACAGGTATCTTTTTCAATCAGTGTTTTTGTGCCTTTTGGGTAGATACCTAGGAGTGGATTGCTGGGTCGTAGGGAAGCTCCATGTTTAGCAGTCAAAGCTACCATTTTAACGAGCTATAAATGACTTGGGTGAATTAGTTTCATTATGATGCCTTTTTAAAAAATAATATAATAGTTTATTTTTACATCATTTTGTGCCTTTTTCCATCTCAGTCGTAATCCCGGTGGGCTTCCCATTACCAGATCACCCGTGTGCCATCATTATGATGCCTTTTTAAAAGGCCACAGTGGAGTAAGGCTCAACAGCATGGCAGGTAGTAATGATTTACCATCTGGGAGGGGAAACCAATTTGCTACTGTGAGGGAAGGGGAAGAAATTTCTCTCTATTTGTCTTGGTTCTTCAGGGTCTGGTTGATTAATTAAATTAACATCAGACACATTAACAGGAAGAAAAAAACCCAGATTTAATTTCTGTGTGTGGAGAGCCTGAATAGACCTGTGGGAGGAAAGATTAAATGAGACATATATGCCTTTCTGAGCTAAGGAGCAGGATTGGGGCCTGGCATTTGACAGGTGGGTATTTCATGTGATGAAGAGTAGCTGTTAATTAGATGTTTGCCTGGCCTTCTAGATAGCTTATTCAGATAGATTATTTCTGGTCAGAACCCTGATTTTGGGCAGGCCCTTTTAAAAGCTTACATTCTTCTAGGTAGTTAGGAAATAGTGAAAGTTTCTCTTTAGCCTTCAGGGTCTTCAGTTCAAAATATTGTATATGCTAAAGTGTCACATCTTGGGGAGGCCTGTCCTGAATCTTTTTACTACATTTTATTTATTTATTTATTTACTTATTTATTTATGCATACACAGACTGGGTTGTTCCCTCACAGGCCAGAGGTGCAGGGATGGAGGGTGAGAGGATTCACTGACACAGAGTGGGGAACAAAACAGGTGGACCTACTGAAATACACAGCTGAGAGGGGAGACAGGAGAGGTCAGCTGAGCCTTGTGGGCCAGCTCCCTGACCAGGGATCAAACTCATGCCACAGTTTCTGGCAGTAGCTTGATTGTGCTGAGATTTTAACGCCTGCATCACCAGGAAAGCCCCAGTTTCGGAAACATTTTAAAGTGAAGTAATTTTGCTGTGAGTGGTGAAGACCTGTGTAGACAGAGGGAGAAGAGTCAGCGGGCAGCCTTGCAGACGTCCTCGAGCTGGCAGTACAGTCGTGCATAACTTGTCTGTTGCCAGCAAAGAAGACAACCTTAATTTCTAGTTTTGTTTTGAATGAATGATGAAATGAAAACAAATTAAATGATAAGCTGAGAGTTATGCAGCTAGTGAAAAAATTCAAAGTCAAGTACTTTAACTTTCCACTTAGTAGCTTAGTAAATTTAAATGATTTAATAATGGTTAGTTAAGAGGATTCTCTGTAAAATTAATGTTGTTTATCACAGGGTTGCTACTGTGAAAAATCAGTTGCTCATTTTATTTGATACATTTCAGACAATATTCCTACATAGCTGTACATTGGCTTATTTTTCATCTGTTAAAATTTAAAGGCTTCATTCCAGAGGTATGGAATGATCAAACCAGAAATCCTTGACACCCTCCAATCTGATCAATCACTAAGTCTTGCCAACTATACTTCCTAACTTTTCTTTTGAATCTGCCCATTTTTCTCCATCCTCACTATCACCTCCATTCTCCAAAGATTTTCTTGGATATCTGCTGAACTGGCCTGCAGCCGTTCTTGCTGCCGCTTCTCTAAGGCTGTTTGATAGTCTTAAAAACTACAACAACATGCACCAACAGTCTCTTTTAAAAGCTCACAAAGATTTCTCGCCACCTGACACTCTGAACTAAGTAATCTTGCTTCTTTCTTTTCCTCAGACTCAATCCTATCACAATTATTTTGATCTTCAGCTACTTACATCCTTTGCTGCCTTGGGGTCATTGCATATGCTGTGTCTTCCTGTGGCCACTCTTCCTCTGGCTTTTCCCCTAGCTAATTACTGTACATTCCAGAGGTCATTCAAGAGGTCTCCTGGAAAACAATAGTTCCTTAGAAAAGCTTTTCGGGGATCCTTCTGTTATTTTTCCGTCCACTCTGCACCTCTGTGACATTCATGTTGTCACTTCATCAACTTCTCTCTTTGACTGTGAATTCATGAGAGAGCAACCAGTGTTGTTCTGAATACCCTTCCCAACCCTTTTAGGCATGATGATATTTGTTGAATGGATAAATGACAGTATTCAAGAATTTTTTTTAAAGATTTATTTATTTGTGCATTCAGAACTGGGGTACAGGCTAGAGGC